TTCATGTAATAATGGGAACCTCTAACCTGATCTTATCTTTTCAGAGAATCTCCATTTTAAGAGCCTTCTGAGCCTGCGTTCTGTCTTCTCCATTTCTCTTCTGTGCTAGAAGTAATTGGTGTCACTGGCAAAGAGCCATGTGTCCTCCATTGCAACTTGCTCAGGGGCGAGGGAGAGGGGCCGGCTTGGGCGCGTTGGCTGCGGGGTGGCCCAGACCTCGCTGCTTCTCCCTGCAATGGATTTCCTGCTAACACACCCCTCCACTCTGTGTCTTTTCTTTGCCAACTCCAAGCTTCTTGTTCCCCCAACAATGGCCTCTGTGTGGTGGGAGGGCTGGGAGCTGCAGGCCGCCCAGGAGCAGCCGGAGGAAACGTTAGGGAGCTAACGCTCGCTGGGGGAGTCACGTGGCCAGGGTGGGGGGTTGCCTGCTAACTCACCTTGCACCCTAATGTGCCACTGAGCGATTCCAGTGGAGAAGGGATGGGCGCGGCAGGAACCGTGGTTGGAGCATGTCTGCAAACCCGGGTGCCTTTGGGGGTGACATCAGACTCCAGCATTTCAGTTGCTTCAGCCAATTAACGTGGGCCTGCGGAGCTGGGGCCTCCCCACAGCCCAGGGCCCAGCATCCATTTCGGTGTCTCCTGAAGCAGAGGGTCCCGGTGGGGGCTGAGCCAGCATCTGCTCATAGGGAGGAAGCCTGCTGCCGGCGAAGAGGGAGCTACACGGAACAGAAAATGAAATGCCAAAATAAGCCCCCACAATTGGTTTTTGACAAAGGTGCAAAGGTGATTCAATGCTGAAAGGGTAGACTTTTCAACGACGATGTTAAAAAAAATTTAGATATCTATGTGACATGCAAGAAGTGCACCTTGACCCAATCTTCACACCTATTATAAAAATTAACTCAAAATTGATGAGAGATCTAAATGTAAAGCTGTAAAACTTTTCAAAGAAAACATAAAAAAGGTATCTGCGGCCTGGACTAAGGTGGAGAGTACTTAGGTCACCCAAAAAAACAAGCCATAAAACACAATTTTGAAAAAATTATAAATAGAACTTCATCAAAATTTAAAATGTTTGCTTTATGAAAGAAACTCTTAATGCAATGAATAGACAAGCTACAGAATGGGAGAAAATATTTTTAAATGACATATATGATAAAGAACTTGTATTCAGAATATGTAAGGAACTCCCAAAACTCAACCATAGAGGGAAAAAAGATAAAGGATAAGAATTACTGCAGATTTCTCATCAGAAACCACACAGGCAAGAAGAGAATGGAGTGAAATATTTAAGGGTTGAAAAACAAAAATACCCAACCTGGAATTCTATACCCAGCAAAATTAGCTTTCAAAAGTGAAGGAGAACGAAAGACTTTCTCAGGCAAACAAAAACTAAGGAAATTCACCATCCCACCTGTCCTTCAAGAAATGTTAAAAGATTTTCTTCAGATAGAAGATGATATATGTCAAGAACTTAGAGCTAAACAAGGAAGGGAAGAGTATTGGAGAAGGAATGAATGAAGGTAAAATAAAATATTTTGTCTTAATTGAGCTAAAAGATAACTGTTTAAAGCAAATAATAGCAACAAGGTATTGGGAGATTATAGCAATGTCACAAGGAATGAGAGAGGGGATTGGGAACTGTACCACCTGTGAAGCTAAATAGTGTTATTTGAAGGTGGACATAATTAATGAAAATTGTATATCATACACCATGAAAAATGCTTAAAGGAAAGACAGCTGGTGCTTTGAAAGAAGATAAAATAGGATAACATAAAATACTCAATTAAAACCAGAAAGGAAAGCAAAGTAAGCCATGGGAAACGAATAGAAAGCAGATACAAATGTGATGATATTAATCCAAATAGGCAAATAATTGTGTTGACTGTGAATTGTCTAAACATATCAATGAAAAGACATTGTCAGAGTCAGTAGCAAAATAAGACCCAACTATATCTTGTCTGCAAGTAGCCCACATTAATTTTAAAGTCTCTGATTGGTTAAAAGTAAAGGTATGGAGAAAGATATACCATGCTGACTTTAATCAAAAGAAAACTGGAGTGGCTAAATTAATTTCAGACAAAACAGCCCTGAGAACAAGGAGAATCATCAGGACTAAAGGTGGGAGAACTAGACAATAAAGAGGCCAATTCCCCAAGAAGACTAAATAATTCTAAATGTGCTTGTGAGGCAAAAACTGAGAAGCTGAGAAAAGAAACAGACCAACCCATGACCATAGGTAGGGACTTCAACACTCCTCTTTCATAGCAGATAGCTCAAGGAGGCAGCAGATCAGAACAGCACAAGGACCTTCCTCTAACTGACAAATACAAAACACCCTACCCGAAGTCAGCATACCATGCTTTCTTCTCAAACTCACACAGAACATTCGCCCACATGCTGGGCCACAAAACACATCTTACCAATTGAAAAACAGACACCACGCACAGCATGTTCTCAGACCACAACTGAATTAACCTAGAAATCAAGAACAGAAAAAGAGCTGAAAATCCCAAATTATTTGGGGATTAAACAATATATTTCTAAACAATACTTGGATCAAAGAGGAAATATCAAGAGCAATTAAAATGCATGGAGCTAAATGAAAATATAACTATAAAATTTGGAGTATGCAGAGAAAGCAATGTTTAGAGGGAAATACATAGCATTAAATGGAAAAGAAGAAAAATTAAAGATCACCCATTTGGCTTCCACATTAGTATACTAGAAAAAGAACAGCAATTTAGCTTAAAGCAAGTAGAAGGAAACACTAAAAATTAGAGAAGAAACAAATAAAATTGAAAACAGGAAAATAATAGAGAAAAGTAATAAACCCAAAAGCTGGTTCTTTGGAAAAAAAAATAATTAAAATTGAGAAAATCATACCAGAACAAACAAAAAATATATTAAACACATTTTACCAATTTCAGAACTGAAAGATTTATCCCTCCTGATTTCTTAAACATTGAAAAGGTACTGTAATGAAGAATTACAACCCTGGTCAAGTGGCCCAGTTGTTTGGAGCATCATCTCTTACACCAAAAAGGCCGCAGGTTTGATTCCTTGTCAGGGCACATACAAGAGTCAACCAAGGAATGCATCAGTAAGTGGGACAACGAATCCCTCCCCCCGTCTCTCTCTCTCTCTCTCTCTCTCATCAATAAATTAAAAAAAGATTTAAAGACTAGCCTCACACTGGCAGAAAATATTTGCAAAATATATACTATATGAAATACCTCTATTCATATATGAAAATATATGAAGAAGTTTTAAAACTCAACCATAAGAAAACTGGGGGGAAAAATGACAAAGTGCACCAAAGACGTGAACAGACACCTCACCAAAGAAGATCAACAGAGCAATAAGACTATGAGAAGATGCTCTACCTCATTTTTAATTAGGGGATTGAAAACTGAAAGCACAATGAAATATTGTTACACACCAGTGAGGATATGTCTAAAATAAAACAATATACTGTACATTACAAATACCAAGTGCTGGCAAGAATGCAGGAAAGTGGGGTTCTCATCCATTGCTGGGGGCTGTGAAAATCATGGAGACACCCTGGAAAACTGTTTGCAGGTTCCTGTCAAGTTGAAACAATTTTACTTGGAGACCTAGCCATACACTCTAAGGTATTTACCTGTCTCATTTGAAAACTTCTGTCTATGCAAGACTCTGCATAGAAATCTTTCTAGAATATCTCTCCCTAAGCGTCCCAAACTGGAAACCACCCAAATAACCTTCAATGAGTGAAGAAACAAAATGTGGATAATGGGATAGAACCCAACAATTAAAAAAAAAAAACCCATCGATGCACACAACGTGAATGAAACTCAACGTATGGCAGGTGAATAAAATCGGTTCCAAAATGTTGAATATTGCATAATTCCATGTATATGATGTTCTTAAAATGATAAAAACACAGCAATGGAGAACACATCAGTGGTCACCATATACCAGAAGGTGACAGGGTCTGGGGAGAGCGTAGCTATGAAGGGGCATCACCAGGAAGTTCTTTGAGTGACGCACCCCCGACGTCACTCCCGCGTGCTGGTGGTCACACGAATCCAAACACCTGTTTAAAAATCTCAAGACTGTACATTTTAAAAGGTCGACTTTACTGTGCATTAAGAAGTCAAATAACTTACTAAATTGTAATAAACGTATATAATGTTTAAAACCTTGCAAATGTCCTAAGTGAGGAGCAACATAATGATTATCGAGAAATACATGAGGATGGTATTAGTAATCGGTAATATAAAGTACCATTTGCAATAGGGGGGCGTGGTTACACTGAGAGGCAGGCGTGAGCGTGGGCAGAGAGCAGTGGGCAGTCCTGGACATCAGCCAGGGGAACCATGCGAAATGGGGGCGTGAAAAAGTATAAAGAAGAAGGCAAGCAATGGACCAGGGTCGGAGAAGCGTAATAAGAGGCAGAAGGACCAGCCCTGGATTAGATGTCCTGCCTTGGCCCCGAGCAGGGCTTAGAAATGGAGTCGGAACAGGATGGGTGGGAGAAAGTTTAGGATGCTTAGGAAGGGTGAGTGAGCGGGGAGGAAGAAACGAGGAAGGTGGACGCAAACAGTGCCAGGCACGCGGAGGGCAAAGGCAGGCTGTTCAAGCAGCGTTTCCTGCTGGCCCGCAGGCGGGTGCCCACGGGCACCGGGAAGGACGAGCGTGGGAGCGCCCGTGCGGGGCGCGGGCTCGGGGGCGCCGTGCGCTCTCCCGGATCGTGCCGCGAGCACGCGCGCTCCGAGGCAGGCGCGGCGGGGCGGGGGCGCCGCGCGGCGCGCGCACGTCCACCGGAGGCGGTGGCGCGGCCGAGGCGGGTGACGTCAGGCGAGGGCGCGCGCCGAGTGGCGGCGGGCGGAGCCGGGAGGCGGGCGCTGCGCGCGGCCGCGGGCGGAGCGGACGGGCGCGAGGGGCGGAGCGGCGCGCGGGAGGAGGCGGGGGAGGAGAGGCCCCCGGGACCGCGAGCGGCAGCTGGGGAGGGGGCCGCGGAACCGGAGCGCGAGCGAAACAGCTGATCTGATTTTCCTTTAAAGAGAGAGAAAATGGAAGTCGGATAGCGGCGACTGCGGCGCAGCGGGCTGGCGGAGCGGAGCGGCGCGCGCGGCAGGTGAGACGGCGCTGGCCGCGGTGCTGACGGCGGCGGCGGGGTCGGGGCCGCCGACTAGGCAGGTGCTCCGTGAGAGCGCGGGCGCCGGGTCCCTGCTCGGCGAGGCGGCGAAGCGGGTGGGCGCAAAGGCCGGGTGGCCCTGGAGCGAGGGCGCGGGGGCGCAGGGGGCGCGGGGGTCGTGGGCTCCGCGCAGGGCTCGCCGGCGCGTCTGCATTGCGGGCTCCGCTGTGGACCCCGCGGGCGCCGTGGCCACCGGTTCCGGCCCGGAGAGGCGCGCGTCTCCCAGGCAGGGTGCGGCGCTCGCCCTGGATCGGGGCCGGTGTCTCCTCCGGCCGCTTAGCTGTCCGCACTGGAACGTGATGACAGGCGTGGGGGGACCGGCCCTTTGGTCCGCGTGGACGCGCCGGGGGTCCCGTGGCACCGGCCAACTCCCAGGCACAGCCCGGCCCGGCCCTGGAGCAGCGCGTGAGGCCGCTAGCCGGGCGCCCGGGCTGTGGCTGCGTGGGCCCCCGCGGTCCGAAGCTCCGCTCGCTCGCTCCGCTGGGTCTGGCTGGACAGGAGGCAAACCCTTAATGCAATTTGGCTGTGGACCCGGAGGCCTTCCCTAGTATCTTCTCACTGGAGGGGAAAAATTGCATCTGCTGAGCTTTAAGTGCTCCTTTAAATTTGGGAAATGTCAGTGATGTCATCATTAACAAAAACTTTCCTTCATTGGACACGACCGCTGGAGTGTACCCTCCTCCCCGTGTAGCTATTGCAGCCTTTGAGAGTCTTTGCGAGAAAACGGGTTTGCCTTTGCTCTCTGAACTCAAACCCCTTGCTCAAGTGAAACGGTTCTTATTTCCACTGGTTTGAGAACCCATCGGTTGGAGTGTGGCTGCAGGGAAACTTGTACGATCCGGCGGGTCTGGGAACTGCTTCGTCCACAGCACATGGATCCAGGCAGAGTCATACCTGGCCCTTATGTGCATCATGGATGCTTTATCTTTGTAAACGAAAGTGAGTCGTGAGTCGTGAGCCGGAAAAATTTTTTTTAAAGATGTTATATTTGACGTGGCAGGCGATGTGTCAGGAAAAGGTGGGCCGGGCCGCCTCACTCTTCGCAGGCCTTGGTGAAAATCTGCAGCTCCCCTTCCTTCTCCACCCCCCTCCCCCTCCGGGAGGTGCCCGGGGGCGGCCCGCCCCGCACACAGGGGTGGCGGCTTTCCTGGGGCCCTTCCCACTTTTCATTTCCTTACCTTAGTAGCCATGTGTCCCACCAGCCTCCAAGGCCGATTCAGTTCCTAAGGAGGGTGGAGAGAGAACAGGGGCTGGAAGACCCCCCACCCCCTGCCCACAGCACACCCGGTTCTGGGGAGTTTCCCCCCTAAATGGGCGCAGAACGCCACCACTGTTACATTGGTGGGCGCTCCATTAGCACCAACTATTATGGGAACAGAAGGGGGCAAGTTCCCAAGATGGTCTGAATACCTCCTTAAGCCTGTCGTATCGAAAGGGTATTCGGTAAGGGACAAACGTATTGACGTTTTTGTGCTTAATAATGAATGACTGCTTCTAATTGGTTAAAGCAGGCATGCCTTCAGTTATTAGTGTATGCTAGTGGGCCTGTAAGGAACGCAGTACCACATGCCACACACAAGTGGCAGCCCGATCAGAAGCGTGAAGCTCTTGAACGCTGGATGGGTGTGAAGGAAACGGGCAGGCAGCGGTCAGCGTGGGGCCCGCGACCCTCAGGGTGGCCGCGGACAGAAGCTACTGCCTCATGGAGCCTTGCCAGGTGTGGGTCTCAGCCTGTATTCGGGGGACAGGTGTCCCTTGAGGAAGTAACTGCTGAAGCCCTCGGCCATGCTGGGGCCCGCACTGAGGCTGTGGGGACGCTGGGCTGTCTGTCTTCACCTTGTGGGGAAGGGGACAGGCACCTCCCACTGGAGCAAGTGGGGCGTCCAAGGCGCCGCACCTCTTAAAGGTGCTGAAGTTATTTATACTGGCAAGGCTGCGGGAGGCAGGGAGCCTGGTGGCAGAACGGTCTCTAAGGTGTGGCCTTTTCGGTGACTTTGCCCCATGGTGCGTAGTTGCTTTAAAACTTGAGCTCTTAAGTCATGGCTGAGATTTTTCTGCAATTGAGTATGACATTTGGTTTTTAAGGCTCCTGGTTGTGAACCCTGTAGAAATCGAGGCTGCGAAAACACCCTGGCTGCATATCCACTTTATTTTGCACCTGTGGACTTGTGGAAATATTCGCCATAATGTTTTTGATTTAACTCACTGTAGTACTTGTCAAAATACAAAGGCAATGTTTCCGCTAGATTTTTAGATGTCCGTCGCTTATTTCCTAAAACACTTCAAAAACAATCACTTTAAAGCCTCTTCACATCCTTTTTATGCTTAGAGTATTGTGTCTTCCGTTTCTAAGAAGCCAGCATTGCCTTGGCTTTTCTTTTCGTTCCCTTTGGATCTTAAGGTCGTGTCTTTCCTTCCTGTCTTAGGCCGAGAATAAAGGCTGAGTCAGCTCCCGCGGGGCCGGCAGGGGGCGCGCTAAACGCGGCTGGCGGGCCCCTACCTGAGCCACCTGGGGAGGGACCGCCAGGTTGGGGGGAGTGTGCCGGTGTGGGTGCGCGGTCGCGCGCGTGCGCTGCGCCTTCGCGTGCCTGTCGCCCAAGGGATGGGAGCTGACAGAAGGACGGGCACCTACTTGAATAGCCAGAGGTGGTGGCTTCTCTGGCTGGGGCAGGGAGTGGCTTTCACAGCTCTGCGTCCTGGGAGAGGGGCGGCTGGTTCCAGTGTGAATATGCAGGGCCTCCCCAGAGCGCGGAAGGGGCAGCGCTGGTGGGAGGGAGGGAGGGAGGGAGCGCATTGGCCCGGGGCGAGGGCATCCTGGCCCTGGTGAGGCCTGATGCTGCCAGGGCCCCGTGGGGTCTGCTCCTGGTTTGACGCCTATGGACTTAAACCCCAGGAGTCGGTGTCAGTGACCGGCCTCAGGGCGTCTCTGATGGAGACTAGCAAGTGTTTCATCCCTGCACATTTCTTTTGCCAAAGAAAATAAAAACGGGGGAAAAGAGGCAACGGTACTTGCCACGTCAATGTATTTAACCTGACTTTAGGCCTGTGCTGTCGGCACATCGCCTCTGAGGCTTCTCCTCGCAGGAACTGAGCCTGGGGTGGGGGAAGGCCCCTGTGTGGAGGGTCCCCTGGCTGCGCTGGGATGGGTGTTGCCCGGGGTGTGGGTGGTCACGCAGCGCCTGGGTGTGGTCTGAAAATCGGACTCCTCTCTCTTCCCCGCGGAGCCCGCATGCAAAGTGGGACCCATCACACCTCGCTGGGCGATAATTTTCTTTCTACTTCTCATTCCGTGGAAAACTCATGTAACACCAAACTGCTGATTTCAAGGGGACAAATGGGAATAATGTGGGGTGTTGTTTTTTTGTTTTTCAGCTGTGTGCTGAGGCACGCTCTTCATCTGGAGCACTTCCAATGGCACCAGGGGAAGGGCCACTAGATTTTAACAAATGCAAAAACAGGTGGCCCCGGATCCTTTCGAAGATGCCCTTCCCCAGGGGTGACCCCAGACCATGCTACTCAGGGCACCCTCGGATCCGCGGGCATTTGCGTAGAAACCAAGCATGCCCGTTCCTTTTTGTAATATATCTAATTTGAAAATATTTCCCCCTTGACACGCGGGAGTGGCGTTGTGTCTGCTGTTGGGGGCTGCTGCGCCCCCAGCCGTGTGTGCGTCAGACCGAGGATGAGGTGGCCTCGGGCAATGAGACGCAGCGGGCAGGGGAGGAGGCGCCGTGGCCACACTGCGGGGACAGGGTTCCCTGTTGCTCACGGCGATGAACTTCCCGTTCCGAGGAGTCAAATGTCCATTCATGCTCAGGCCGGCTCTACATGCATCCCTCTCCTGGTTTAAGCAGCTAAGTCTGAAGTAAACAAGCTCATTTTGTAAGTTGGGAGGCTTTTGAGTGTCTCCTTCCCAGGGAAGGTTTTCTGTTTGAGCTGGGCTTACTCTTACATCCTTTTCCTTATAACTGTAATGGAAATTGGGTGTCTGAATGAATATACATAACTAAGACGCTGTATTGACTGTTATGAAATATACCAGGAGAGCCTATAAAAGCCATTCCCTTTACTGCTCAGCGTTTCATTCGATGGTTTATCAGATTGCTGCAGTTTCCCGTGGTGCTAGGGAGTGGTGTGAACACCCCCTGCCCCCCATGAGATTAGATCGTGTCTCAGTTACTGAGACAAGAGTTTAGGAGCTCGCCCGAGGGAAGGCGGCCGCTGGGAGAGGGGGCCGTGCGCCCGCTGCGGTCCCTGCCAGCCTGGGACGCGATGCCACTGAGGAGGCCCCGACTCTGCTGTCCTGTGGCTGCCACCCTGCCCTCTACCCCGATCACCATCCCTGCACTTCCATTTCAGGAGTTGTCTGTGACCTGGGCTCTCCTGTTTCTTCTCTTTTCTTTTTATTGATTTAGAGCGAGAAAGGAAGACAGACAGACAGACAGCGAGAAGCATCGATTTGTTGTTCTGCTTATTGATGCATTCATTGGTTAGTTCTTGTATGTGCCCTGACCGGGGATCGAACCCACCACCTTGGCATATTGGGAGGATGCCCTAACGAACGGAGCCACCCGGCCAGGGCTCCCGTTTCTTCAGTTAAGCTCAGGGTGGGCCTGGCACATCCTCCTTCTGGAAGAGACCACGCAGTGGGCTGTGCCCTGGGCCATGCCCGGCCCTGCCTTCCGCATCCCACCCCCCACCCCCTGCCGAATGCTGAGTCAGCACCCTTTTATTTTGGGGGTTCCAAGACCAGAGCCGCCACCCACTTCCCCATCACGTCCCTAATGATGATTTTAAGCTTGGACAGAAGTGTGCGCGATTGAAGTGTGAGCAATACATTTGCATGTGTAATTCTTCATGCCTTTAAACAAGATTGGCATCTGAGACTTACACAGTTAACTTTTTCTCTTTAAATTATATAAATGAGAATATTTCCTTTT